GGGTGATTTGAATGCAATATTCCTGCTTCTTGGCAGGGGGTTGGACTGGATGGCCCATGAGTTCTCTTCCAATTCTTTGATTCTATGATTCTATGATCAGCTTCCCTATGCGGTCAGTGGTACCCTTGATGTCTGGCAAGAACACTTTTCCTCTGGGTGGATCGTTGTCTTTACTCTTGTGGTTTGTTCTTGGTCTTGCAGGTCTTAGTGGAGTATCCATTGGCCTGTAAAGCCTAGTTTAGGTGGTTCAGTTCGTCTTGGAGGAGGTGGTGTTTGCAGATTCTTTTTGCATGTTCTGCCAGGGCTTTAATGGTGCTTCTTCTTTTACTTGGGTGATGGTTGGAGTTTTTATGTTGGTATCTATCAGTGTGTGTAGGTTTTCTGTAAACTGTGTGACCCAATTGTTGATCTGGTTTGCGGATGACTAGGACATCTAGAAATTGCAGTTTCCCTTCATTTTCTTTTTCCATGGTGAATTGGATGTTTGGGTGGATGCTGTTAAGCTGGTCCAAGGAACCTGTTTTCTTCTCCATGGCTCCAAGTGGTAAAGGTGTCATTCACATATCTGAACCATATAGTGGGCTTTTCATTGCTGTTTCCAGGACTTGTTTTTCAAAGTGTTCCATGTAGAAATTTGCCATGACTGGGCTGAGAGGGCTCCCCATAGCTACTCCATCTTTCTGTTCATAGAATTCATTGTCTCGCTGAAAGTAGCTTGTGGTGAGGCAATGGGGAAACAGAGCTGTGACGTCTTCTGGGAACTTCTGTTTGATTAGTGTGATGGTGTGGGACCATGGTAAATAGAGACACCACAACAAAGCTGATCAGTTTGCCATTGGAATTGAGCTTGAGGTTGCTGATTTTTTCTTTGAAGTGGGCTGAGTCCTTGATGTAGTGCGTAGTGAGCCCAATATGGAATTGTAACTGTGCAGCCAAAAATTTTGTTAAATGGTATGTGGGAGATCCAACGGCACCCACTGGTGTTCCTTTTTTACATCACCTCTGGGAAAAGCAAACAGTTGTGGCTTCAGTGGAGACCAAGAGCAATTCTAAACAAACTGGCAAAATGTAAATGAGACCCCCATTGGTGGGGTCACAACATCACAATTAAAAAAATTCAAAACAGTGCTTGGAAAGCACCACATTATCCAACAATGTCTCAGTAATTCCTAGATTATTAGATAAAATCCAAAATATCGATGACCAGAACTCTAGTCCAGACCAGCTGGTAAGACTGTAAACCATATCCTGATCATTCTCATACCTGAAAATATATGCTCAAAGAGTCTTTAGTGCCAGATGTATCTTTTGCCAAACTGTGGGAAGTGAGTAAGAACAGCAAAACCTTTTAAATTGTTGTCACATGCCTGTTCATAGACAAATCTTCCCCAGTTTGCTATGCGCCCAATGCACATCCCACACAGATGATCATTATTCATTCTTTTTTTGGCTTGGTTTTTCCCCACAGATGTGCTCTCCCAGTTTGACATTTGCAACTCTTCTCCAATTGGTAGAAAATATGTTATCTGTCTCTATATGAACTTAAAAAACCCAGTTAATTCATGGACACCTTTTGTTAACTATAGTTTCCCAATGATTTGGTGTGTGTGTGTGAGAGAGAGAGTGTGTGTGAGTGTGTGTGTGTGTGAGAGAGAGAGAAAAGCACCCTTAGGACTGATGTCTTCCTTCTTTGTGTCTTAGACAGTGCCGCCAATAAAAGAAACAATTCAAATATGTATGGTGCCCATCTGTTGTTCAAGTAAATGAATTCTGCAAGAAGGCAGCTGAGGTAATTACTATACAGACAAGGATATACAAGTGTGTGTTGTTTGTATATTTGTTTCATTGCACCTCAGAATTGATAGCAAATGTCAGTTGTCTTCAAAAGAACACGTCTATTTCAGAGTAAAGTTTCAAACTGCAGTAAATGTGTTTGTCATTAAAAAGGTGAGGGAGAGGGAGAGAATTAAGTGGTTCAGGAAAAGATCCATTGGTTCAACAGCTGCTAGGAATAAGTTGCATGTGGGATGGTCATGAATTTTGCAGCTCTGAGAATAGAAGTTTCTGTGTGGCCGTAGTAATGCATGCGTGGTCTTCAGAGCTTGGAAAAGGTACTGTTTGGGAATACGAATCCCAGCTTCCTCCAGCCAATTATGTTGCTGTGGCATTCAAATCGTATTTATACTGGAACAAAATTGCAGACTAGCTGCAGCATCCAGGGCCCATAACCTCTAACCACCTTACCTTGTTTTATGTAATTATGATGTTGTTTATTGTTTGCGTTTTCGGTTTGCGTTCGGTCGTTCTTTATTGTAATTGTTATTTGGGCTTGGCCCCATGTAAGCCGCTCCAAATCCCCATTGGGGAGATGGTGGCAGGGTACAAATAAAGATTATTATTATTATTATTATTATTATTATTATTATTACCTTTTTAATGTCAGTCTCAGTTAGCCCTCTGTCATCCCACTCTTTCAGATGCTTTTAAAGTGTCTCAGTTTCTTTTTCACCCTCACACTTTTGACCTCATTATATGAGGTACTTTTTGGCTGTATGCAACAGTTCGTCAATACTTTTGTGATGGAGCCCACCAGTACCCATCTCATGACATAAAGCAACTTCCAGCACATGGTGCTGCTACAATACAGGAGCCTTGGATCAATGGGGGAAAGCCGGGCAGTCAATGCTTCCCCCCATGGAATGGGGCAACAGGTGAGTCGGGTGCTGCAGGGCACTGCCAGATTTACCACAATGTGTGGTGATTCCAGCGGCATGTCTGATGAGGTTGAGTCTCTCTTTGTCTTCTCAGTTAACGTCAATTACTCCAAGTGCAAAATAGTTTCCATCCTATTAATACTGGGGAGAGTGGAGAGTAGGGATGGAGTCTGACCCTGTTCAGTATGACTTATAATAATAATAATAATAATAATAATAATAATAATAAGAAGAAGAAGAAGAAGAAGAAGAAGAAGAAGAAGAAGAATTTGTTACCTGCCTCTCCTACTGTTTGAGGTGGGTAACTGCTGCATTCTCCCTCTCCTAAGCTGGCCAGTCCTTCTTCTTTAATAGCTTGTGCTATCTTGGGACCATTTATTCCGGGGCTGACTTAATATGTACACAGGATTGGCCCTGGGGTGATTTACACCACCACCTTCATGACTTCTGCAAAGAAAAAGGGAGCCCTGACTGCCCAGTGGCACCAAACCCAGTTTGGGACTGCTAGCCACCCTTACATCCCCTCCCATTCTCTTTGTCATGATGGCCAGCGAGTGAAACATGGGTCCTGCTGGTCACTTGCCACACTTTTTGGCTGGGGCACCAGAGCAATGTAGGAGGGGCAGGGTGCGAGAGGAGGAATCCCCCCCCCTTATCTGATCACCTCAACGCTCCAACCAATGTCACTTTAGACCAGTGGTTCTCAACCCGCAGGTCCCCAGGTGTTTTGGCCTACAACTCCCAGAAATCCCAGTCAGTTTACCAGCTGTTAGGATTTCTGGGAGTTGAAAACCAAGACATCTAGGGACCCACAGGTTGAGAACTACTGCTTTAGATGGAACCCATGTGCTTGCTGATCTCCATGACAAAGAGAGGGGATTGTGAGTGCCACCCCATATTTTGAAGCCTTCTGAATTTGGGAAACATGGGTCATCTCCATACCAGCCCAATTGTTTATGTGGTCCCGAGGTTGCAGGTGCTCTGAATTCTGTGGCAGAATTTGGACCATTTTAAGTATTTTTGCCCCATGTTAACAGTAAGTGGTCACAGTACTGTTCACAGTAAGTGGTCAATGCTGATGTGTCCATAACCACACAATGATGTTATTTGGCCCCATGTGTCCTGGTTTTCATCTATGAAATAGTGGGGCTATAAGAACTTGTTTATCTCAATAAGAGACAAATGGGAAAGAGTTGTAGAATAACCATCTGAACATTAGGAAGAACTTCCTGAACATTAGGAAGAACTTCAGCAGTGGAACTCTCTGCCCCAGAATGTGGTGGAGGCTCCTTCTTTGGAGTCTTTTAAACAGAGGCTGGATGGCCATCTGTCAGGGGTGCTTTGAATGCAATATTCCTGCTTCTTGGCAGGGGGTTGGACTGGATGGCCCATGAGGTCTCTTCCAACTCTATGATTCTATGAACCAGAATGTTTGTTTGTTTCCTACAAACAGTAGGATCCAGTGTTGGATTTATGCAGAATCCAGGCATCTCCTGTATTATTATTTAAAGTCTCCCATTGAAATCAGTTAAAAGGAAAATACCAATGCTGGCTGAAGTGGTAATAAAGAGTTTAATCCTGGATCCCAGCCTCTACTACCATTGTTCCTGATCCACCTTGTTTTGAACCTTTCATCAGTTATCTGCAAAATCACAACTGGCTGGAGATGTCTACTTGTAGACTTCTTTATTTTTAATTTTTAAATTCCAACTTTTAGAAATGAACAGATTGAGTACAGTTATGCAATTAAAATTCAACTCAACTGCAAGCTTTATATGTCACTTCAGTATCAGCAGGTCCAAACATATTATTTTATATATCTGTTCTCCAGTTGAGAACAGTTAAAGTTGGTTAGTTCAAAAACACAGATGTTGTTCCTGAGATTTAAATGGCATGGTTTCAAATTTTGTGCAAATAATAAATGGGTACCAAATTGAAGAAAACTTATTTCCACCTGTTTGTACCTTTAATGTCCTTCTCTGATACTTCCATTTTTCCACAAGGTTGATGATCAAACTTTTATATCCAAGAATAGAAAGACATCTCAAGTGTGAGTTTCAATACTTGGCAATTTCCAAGCATGCTGCAGTCAAGAAAGTTGAAATAATTTATTTCAATTTTCAAATCGGGATTATGTCTGTTCTCTTTTTACTGTATTTTAATTGAACTGTTTTAATCTACTGCTGTAAACCGCTCCGAGCCAAATTGGGAGTAGCGGTATACAAGTCAAATAAATAAATAAATAAATAAATATTAAATTAAATCTTTTGAAGATGGAGACAATAAGACGAGCCTCACAATAGTGTGCTTTTTGGTTCTGCATATCTGATAAGAATTGTAAAATATAATGCCAACATTTTAAAATCTTGTTGCATTGTAGCCACATGCGAATTATAGTTCCCTTAGCGGAGCAGCCCCTCCAGCTTTGTGGGGAGGACTGAACAGATAATTTTGGAAGTTTCACTGGTGTGCAGTACCAATAATGTAACAGTGTACAAAAATGTTTTTCGAATTGACAATGATATGGATTTAAATTATGGCAAGTTCCACAACCTTGCCCATTGTTTTTCGGAAAAGTGAGTGTTTAATTCGCTCTCCCATCAGGTTCTAAGACCTTAGTTGTGACAATGGATAGGGCTGCCATATGCCAGCCCTATCCATTTATTGTAAATTACTGAGACAACTCATCTAGCTTGTGAATCTGCTGCTACACATAGTTCCTCAAAATACATACGAGATATTGGAGTACTTTCCTTATGCATATAAATTTAGAGAAATAGAGTTCTTGCAGACTCTTTTTATAGCTATAACTGGTGTGCCTAATCTTCTATTGGAGCTCTTTTCCATGAAGGAGGAGTATTTCAATGGCATCCAAAATGTACCAGTCACAGAATCTGGAGGCTAGGACTTTAATTTACAAGATGCTTTTCATTTCCTACTTCTGGGCTCATCATAATTGAAAAGCAGATCTTCTCTTTCGTTACTTTTCTCCAGCCATCATTCAGTCTTTAATATTTATGCAAGATTCTCATTATCTGTATAGATGCATTCTTAAGTGTGTCTTCTGTATGTACATGGCATGAAGCACAGATGGCTCTCCAAGTCAGTGTAGCTGTAGTGAGAAATTTATAACAGAATAAAGGAAGTAGGATCTATCTCTCTCTCTATATCTATCTATCTATCTATCTATCTATCTATCTATCTATCTATCTATCTATCTATCTACTCATGCCTTCTCTGGACTAACAACAACAACAACAATCTGCCTCTCCTTGCAGCTTCACGCGGGTATAACATTGTTAAAACAAAGAAATAAAACACTCCACAAATACATATAACATAAAGTAGCACCTATTATGAACAATATATTATGACTGCACAGCTGGAAGCATACTGTAGAATCACGCTGGAGGATCTAGAAAGGTTCACAAACACTTTCAGGAGATGGGGAAATATTTTTGGGGTATAGCTAAGTGAAACCATGTATATCGAATCAATGAATAAGAGGGTTATACTGTAATGCTGTGACCATGTGCACAAAATATGTATTTACATTATGCAACAATTGCACCACGAAGTACTGAATTCCAAGCTTTAAATCATAATGTAATGTAGTTATGATTCCGCTTTTGAAAAAAAAATTAATTGCTTAAAATAATTCACTCTGGTAAACGCAGAGTTCCAAAGGCTGGGAACTGGCAATTATAAATTTACCATCCTTTGAATAAATACTATTTATTCAAAGAGGTATCAATTTTCCACAATGGATTGAAGCCACCTGTAAAGTTTGCAGAAATTCTGCTTGATATCTTCATATCCCTGCATTAGAAATGAATGATTGCTTTTTAATATTATTAGTAACCACCCTATCCCCTCCTGTACAGATACATTTCTTGGGTGATTTTATTATATGCATAATAATAGTACCAATAAGCTCAGATTTCGTTGGAATAAAAATGATTGGAAACAATATCTACCCTAAAGCATCTTTAATGTCATTACAGGAGGGTAGGGGTAAATTAAGCGGTATTTAGCCACCAAAGTCTTTAATTTCATTGCATCTGTGTAGGTGTGAGACATTATGAGGTCCAATTTTAAAAATCACTAATGTTTTTACATCTGAGTAGGAGTAAATTAAGCAAAATCATTCCTGAACTGCTAATGTCATTTTAATTGAATGTTGTTCAGTTTCTAGTTGCTGCATCCATACAGCGGTCAGTGAAATGGATATGAGAAAACCACTGCAATCCGGGTACCAGTCGTTGCTAGAAACTGATCTATAGTTATAGGACAAATCACAAAAGTATGAAAATCTGACAATGCGGTAGCAAAGCGCTCACTGTCTCATCAACGAAGCCTGCCATTCAACAGTTTAAATGACCGCACAAACAATATTTAATCTGGCCAGTCTGCAAGTGGTGTCATTATTCCTAGTCTTCATTTTTTAAAAGAAAAAAAAGTCATTTGGTAGATGTGATTTACAGAGGCAGAGTGCTAAAAAGAATAAATGAAATTAGCTTGTCCGTGTATAATTCATGGTTTGATTCACTGTTGATGAGAAAACAGACAGCCCTGAAAAAGAAGAAAAAAAGAAGAAAAAGGAAAGGTAATCAATTAGCTCTCTCATCTATCCATAAAAGGAAAATACAATGAAACAGTAGAGTTGGACACCCTGGATTTGATCATTTATTTGACAAGTTGTACAAATATCTAGGAAATGCAACATATGATTTTGAATCATTAGTAGAAGGT